AGCCGCGAGCCGATGTAAAAGATTTAGGGTTTAGGGTTTAGGGTTTAGGGTTTAGGGGGCAGCAAGAAGAAGCCTGAACCAAAGCAAACCCTAAACTGAACACTGCCGCGTTGTGAACTCCACCCTGCCTCCGGGTAAAAGCGGAGAACGCACACCACCAGGGACACAGCAGCTAGCCTATGCGAGTTTCACAGAGACAGTGACTGCTGGTTCTTCGCAGGGAATGAGGTACCCTATATAATCCTTTAAAAGCGTGCTATACAGGGGGAATACAGGGCACCAATTTCCCTCCTTCCCCTACTAAGAACCACCAGGGTTCGCACACAGGAGCGAGAGGCCCGACTGAGTTGTTGGGTTCGCAAGGTCACGTTCACTGGGGGACCCTAAACCCTAAACCCTAGTTCCCTCCAAAGACCTCCGGTTTCTAAGCAGGGAATGAGGGAATTAGGCACCTTATATCCCCTTACCCTGTCAGGGACAATACAGGGTACCGCATTCCTTTACAAATCAGTAAGCATACAATCTGGAGCTAGGGTCCAACAAGGTTTCTGGACTATTCAATGCTGGCTCGCTCTGCCAAAACTGATAACGAAAACCCTGGCCCTAAACCCCCAACTCTCAAGCAGCTTCTGCTAGAGGATCCGACCAGACCTACCGTTCAGGGTTTAGCGTTTAGGGTTTCGGGTTTAGGGTTTAGCCTAGCGTCAAAGGCCAAATGTAGGGGGAACATTTGGGGAGATGTGGGTGCTCAAGTTCCAGTAGGTTTGGCGGTTCACCCCTAATGCCTCAACTCATTCTGCCACGAAGCCGCAACCCGAGACCCTGGTTGCTCGTGCAACTCTTGGAATCGTTTCACACAAAAGCAGGCTCACAAGCAGGCGAAAGTTTACAGGAATACGATAGGGTCTAGGATTTAGGGTTTGGGCAGCCAACTGCACGAGCCTTGTAAACCCTAAACCCTAAACCCTAAACCCTAAACCCTAAACCCTAAACCCTGGTATGCAACTCCTCCAAGATAGGGTTCGTAAGGGAGGGGCGCTCACGGGGGTAGGTACCTAGGAAACCTTAGGGAAGCAAGGTGCTCTGAGGGATTAGCGGAGGTACTTTGGGTTGCATACCCCCCCCCCCCCCCCCCCCCCCCCCCCCTCCCTGAAGGACCCTAACCTTAAACCCTAAATCCTAACCCTACACCCCCCCTCCCTTGAGAACCCCATAACTCTAGCTCGGAAGCACGATGACCCCCCCCCCACCAAAGCCCGCTTGAGTCTCCGACCATCCATAGTAGAACAGAAGCAAGGCTTTCTCGATGCCTGTAGCACACCCTAAACCCTAAAGCCTAAACCTAAAGCCTAAAGCCTAAAGCCTAAGCCTACAGCCTAAAGCCTAAAGCCTAAAGCCTAAAGCCTAAAGCCTAAAGCCTAAAGCCTAAAGCCTAAAGCCTAAGCCTAAAGCCTAAAGCCTAAAGCCTAAAGCCTAAAGCCTAAAGCCTAAAGCCTAAAGCCTAAAGCCTAAAGCCTAAAGCCTAAAGCCTAAAGCCTAAAGCCTAAAGCCTAAAGCCTAAAGCCTAAAGCCTAAAGCCTAAAGCCTAACCTAAACTATATGCTGCAAACTCTGGGTTCCTCATGCCATGGGCCAGAGTAGCATAGCACACTTGACTTGGGACTGTTCGTTGGGATGTACCCCCTTACACTACCAGCTCCTCAATAGGGATTCTAATAGGGGGTACGCGAATCCCTATTAAGGACTGTTAGTATAGGGGGGAACATCCCAAGTGACATCTCTGCTGCAGTCGGACTGAGAGGACAAATCTGGCATCTGAGGGATGAGGGATCGATTGGGGACTCAGGGTTTTTACGCCCCCAGGCCCACCACCACACCACCCCCCCTCCCCTACCCCGGGTCCGAATGAGAAGGGCCACGTCGAGGGCTTTTTGCATGGGAGATTCGTATAAAGGGGGACATCACAAGACGTCACCCCCCAAAAAAACAAGCGACACCTGAACTCGAAAACCCTGAACCCAAGGGTTGAACTGTTCAGGGTTCAGAGTTTAGGGCTCAGGGTTCAGGGTTTAGGGCTACCTCGAACACCCTGCAAAAGCCCCCCCCACCCCCCCAATTCAACCAACCTGTTTTGGGTCTCCTTCTGACCCTCTAAACCCTAAACATCCCTATAACCCCAAAATAGGGTCTAGGGTTTAGGGCTTAGGGCCTATCTATAGGGTTTAGGGTTTAGGGCAAAAAAACCTAAACAAACCTGAAAGAACCCGAACAGTGCTGAGTGTTTCTGCCATAGGGTTTAGAGTTTAAAAAGCCTAAAAAAACTTGAAAGAACCCTAACAGTGTTGAGTGTTTCTGCCAAGGCTTTGCAAGTTCCCGCGGACCGGGCGCCCGGCCGAAGGGGTTCGAGTAAATGTCCAACCTTGGCTCTGCAGCTGCGATTTGGGGTCTAGGCTTTGGGGCTGGGTAGGTGGTTTAGGGTTTAGGTCTTAGGGCTTAGGGTTTAGGGTTTAGGGTTCAGGGTTTAGGGTGTGCGTGTGAGAGATTTCAAGTAAGTTCTCTTTTTTTGGGGGGATGGGGGGGGAGATTGGCGATTCTTTTTCTGGAGACTCCTATGCCCAAAAGCATGGCGCGGGGGGATGAGGGGTGACCGAAATTAGGGCCCTTTTCAGGGGTGTCTTTCTTTGTAGATCTCTCACTGCAGGTGCGACCCTGCTTTAGAACAGGAAGATCCCCAGCAAAACGCGTTTAGAACTACCATTTTTGGATCTATATTTTTGGCTGCAGGCCCTAAACCCTAAACCCTAAACCCTAAACCCTAAACCCTAAACCCTAAACCCTAAACCCTAAACCCTAAACCCTAAACCCTAAACCCTAAACCCTAAACCCTAAACCTAAACCCCAAGCCACAAGCCCTAAACCCTAAACCCGAAACCCGACCGAGTTTAGGGAACACTGAACCCTACCGAGTTGAGGCAGCTCAACTTGCAGGGCGGTGGGGAGTAGGGCTCATCAACCCCAAGACTTGGGTTTAGGGTTTCGGGTTTAGGGTTTGTAGCGTTTATGCTTTAGGGTTTAGGGTTTGAGGGGTCGCATATGGTTCCTTACCTTCTCTACGCGTTTTGCTGGGGTCGGGGGCTTAGGGTTGGTCAGGATTACAGCTTAGGGCTCAGGGTTTGGAGTTGTGGGGTTTGGGGTTTGGAGTGTTTTGGGTTTGGGGCTTGGGGTTTGGGGGCGCACGCAACGGTACCTTGCAAACCTGACTTCTTAGCTAAGGCAGCTAAGGTGGAGGGGGCTCGACACGTTATTTCCGTCTACGACACCCCTTTCAACCCTAAACCCAAAGCCCGAAAACTCTGCCAATCGCGACTCAGAAGCAGTCTTCGTGTCACCAGCTGCGGCGTGGGCTGGTAGCGCGCCTGCGCTGACAACAGAGCCAACACTTACAAAACCTTACAGCTCCGAATTCCTAAACCCCTAAAACCCCTTTTATTCCTAAATCCCTAGAACCCTAAAACCCTACGATCAAAAACCCGTAACACCCTAAGAAACCGAGAGCCTGCACCCGCCAAGCCACTACGTGCAAACCATACTAGCTCTACAAACCCAACGATACCTAGCCATCCTTCTCGAGCCCTACAAAGCCCAAAACTCAAACCCTACTAGGTAAGGGCTTCTGATTCGAGGTCCAGGGTCTGAGGATTACGGCTTATCCAGGGTTTACACAGTTTGGTCCGGCAGAATTCTCTAAACCTTGAAGCATAAGCCGATTTTGTCGAGGGCCCGGGCCCTGACACAGAACTAGCCCAGCAAAGAGCCAAAGCAGGGGTTTAGACGGGTTTAGGTTTTAGGGTTTAGGGTTTCGAGGAATCGAGCTTTCTGCACCCTGAACCTAGTGTTTAAACTAATGACAGCGTCCAGGTTGATTTCCTTCGTCTAGAACAAGTCGACCAGTTTAGGGATGGATGGTTTCAAGAGTTTAGAGTCCAGTTAAGGGTTTATAACGCGATTTCGGGTTCAAGCTTTAGGCCGCCCGGTCGCCCGAAGTAAGGGGCGAGCGCTTATGCACAGCACAGGCACGCAACCCAAAATCACATTTCACTGTCTCTTCAGACTGGGCTAAGCAAATTCATTTAAGGTCGCGGTTCAGGGTTTACGGACATTGCTCTCTCTCACCCCAGCCTGGACAAAGAGCCGCCTAGTCCGTGCCCAGAAGTATGGCCTGGTCACAATATTTGTTGGGGGCGGGGAGGGCAGGGTGGGGAGGAGGGGAAGGGGGGGGGGGTGGGGGGAAGGGGTCTCTGGTTTGCTAGGAGGAACTTCAACTAACTGACCGGAATCACCATCACAAAAACAACAAGAATACCTAGTTGTGGGGCCATGTGTCTATACATATATATATATATACGTGTATATTTATCTGTTTATCGATTTATCTATTCGTTAACGCTAGAACTTGACCTGAAACCCTCAAAACCGACAGCCCGCAACCCGAACGCCCTGAAGGGAGACCAAGGGTAAACGGGTTCATAGGGCTCATAGGATTCAGGGCTTAAAGCGTCTAGGGTCCATAAGGTTTATAGGGTGTGTAGGTCTCATAGGGCTCATAGGGCTGTTTTTGGAAAGCACCCTCGAGTGCTCAAGCGCATTGCGTCCTGCGACAAACGCCCTTCGGATTTTTCAGGGCGGTGTGGGCGGCAATGCCTTTCATGTTCTTTTGCATGCTTTTCAGATACCCCACGCATCCCCAAGTAGACGCTGCGTTTCAAGGAGCCGTGAAGAATGTGAAACGACGCTACGGTATTTAGTGCATGTCATGTTTGGACAAGCACCCTCTCTGGAACTGTGGTTTCTGCCAAGGAGATGCTCGCAGAAGTCCCAATTTTACATGAAGCTAAGAAACATACACCCGACCTGGAACTATGGTTTCTGAACTACGGTTTCTGCAAGTAGACGCTGTTGCGATGCATAAAAATCTTCGCGATTCGAGACAAGGCGACTACTCAGTAGCCACCAACGCTCCGGGAGCTAGGCAACCTTTCAAGCTGCAGTCCGAATGTCCGAACCATGTCTATGGCCACGTCAATGTCGGCGGTGCATCCTGCAGCAGCTTCGCTTCGAGGAGGAAGCCATCGCTTAAGTACCAAGGCTGGTCCTGACTCAGCTCTAGAAAACATCTTCCATTGGATGACGAAGTCCTCAAGCCGGGAAGTGGCCGAGCGGAGCTCCGGCACCACATGGATGAAAGCATGTCGAAGTCGCCTCACATGTAACTTGTGAACCCTGCCAGTTTCATCTGCCGGCTCCTTCTTTGCCGTCTTGGGGAAGAAGGTGCGCCTCGCACGTCCAAGGGTATCTGCCACGACAATGAATGCCGGGAAGGGGTCTGGACTGATGGACTTGACGGTCTCACAAGCTTCGCACCAGGTCACCCTTCCTCCTCCTTCCTCCTCCTCTATTTCCTCCTCCACTTCCTCCTCCTCCCTCGGCCTCCTGGTTGCCAGGGAACCTTGGATGCAGGTGTCTCTTAATTTGGGATTGGCTGGCTGTTTGGCTTTACGGTGCTCTTGCTGAAGTTGCTCGGCCAAGTCAGGAGCTAGGCAAGCTTGAAGTTGCTTTTCCTGAAGTTTCACTTTTCTGCCGTTCTGCAAAGTTTGGGCAGAACCTTCTTTAATGCCATGTGCAATCTTCAATTCACGTTGCAGGAACTTCACGCCGTCTCGCTCATCCTCATCGCTGTTGTAGCGGAAGCGGTGGCGTTCATCAACAGGTTATCAATCTTGTCCATCATGCTATTCATGTAGTTTCGGACGGCTATGAAGTTTGCGACCTCGGGGTGGCAACGAACCATCTTCTCGACCTTCACGTGGAAGTTTTCTTTGCCACTCTTCACCTCATCAATCAAAGACTTCAATGATTGAAGGGGGATGTGGGTGATGAAGACCTTGAAGCTCACTTGTTGAACGCCGTGAAACTTCGCACCGAAACTGAAAGCACTGAAGACATCTTGTTCGCTTGGGTTGATGATAACCTTGTTGGGCTCATCCTTTTTACTTCTTCTTCTCCTTCTTTTTTCAGGTAATCCTTCTTCGTGGGGGTTTGCTTCTGGTTGAAGAATGAGACCACCTAAAAAAACTGTTGAGCGCAAATGCTTCTGATGGATATCATGTTGTTCAATCATTGCAACATAACTTAAGCACTGTCGGCGCAAATGCTTCAAAGTGTCTCAACGCTTTTTTACTTGTGACGTGCTCCCCACAGTAAGGCTTCAGAAGCTGAAGCATCTACTCCTTGCATAGTTTCAATGCTACTTTGTGTGGCGTCGCTCCTGCATCAGGTACTCGCTGTCCCGGCTGGCTGACTGGTTCATGGGCTTCATGGGCTTTGTAGGGTTCATGAGGTTCATGGGGTTCATGGGCTTCGTGGGGTTCATAGAGTTCCCCTAAACCCTGAACCCTAAACCCGAAACCCTAAACCCTGAACCCTAAACCGGGAAGGTTCGTAGGGTTTATAGGGTTCGTGAGCCTCGGGATGGCGCAAATGATCCGGGCCAGGCAAAGCGTCCGGAGGATGGCGTCTGAAGCCTCCTGACTGGGCTTCCGGGGCTTGAGGGCTTTAGGGCCTTTTAGGGGCCTTTTAGGGGCCTTTAGGGTTTAGGGTTTAGGGTTTAGGGTTTAGGGTTTAGGGTTTAGGGTTTAGGGTTTCGGGTTTCGGGTTTAGGCTGTTAGGGTCGGGTGTTATGGGCCGCTGGTAAGGGTTCCTCGTGTGGTCCTTTCACCAAAGCCCGTACCGTTCTGGATTCAGGGCTCCCTGAGCTACATACCCACTCAACCCTCCGAACCCTCTAAACCCCTCTAAGCCCTCTTAGTAACCTAAACCGCCCTAAACCCTAAACCTCAAACCCTAAACCCTAAACCCCAATAACTCAGGTCAAACCTCATGTTCCATGTTTGGCTCGAAGCCCGGGTGCTGTCTTCTTTAATTGGTTCTCAAGCAAATAGTCTAGACCCAAGACTAACCTAAGAATAATCAGGGTGCCCTTGGTGTTCAGGACCCTCAAAAAAGGGGAACAAGGGCCTGCTCTGGGCCCTAGTAGGAATACCCTAATGAGGTTTATGAGGGATCCCAAACCCTGATGTGACATGGCACCCCAAACCAGGGTTTAGGGTTTAGGCCCCTAGGCCTCAACCCTCAGCCCCAAACAGAAAACCAGAAGGGGGGGTGCTCTGGGTGTCCTACGGCTTATATAAGAGGCCTAAACCCTAAACCCTAAACCCTAAACCCTAAACCCTAAACCCTAAACCCTAAACCCTAAACCCTAAACCCTAAACCCTAAACCCTGAATTAGGGTTCGGAGGTCTCGTTTTGCACCATCCGAAAAGACTTGCTGTGACTGCGATGCACGGCATGAAACCTTCGTTTCGCCTCATAGGGCTTTAGGGGGTTTGACACGGGTTTAGGGTTTAGGGTTTAGGGTTTGGAGTTTAGAGTTTAGGGCTTAGGGTTTAGGGTTTAGAGTTTGGGGCTTCGGGTTTAGGGTTTAGGGTTTCGGGTTTAGGGTTGTCAGCTTTGGCTGAACTCAAGGTTAAGCTTCAAGGCCCCTAAACGCTAGATCCTGGATCCTAGCAACCTCTAGAACTTGTGCGCCAAGAGTTCCGGAGTTCGCGGACCCCAAGGACAACCACTGCCACCGACACGGTTCTCAGTTCCATCGTGTCTGTGGACCCTGAACTTAAGAACCCTTGCCCCAAAAAACACTAAACTCCCAAACCCTAATCTCCCTGAGCCCTCAGCCCCTCAGCCCTCAACCCCGCGAGGCAAAAAAGGGGAACCTGGGAAGACCAGAAGCGCATCACGAGCTGCCAGCAGTGAATAACCTGAGTGAGTTCTGCCCACCCTTGAAACTGAGTGTCCAGGAGTCTAGGGTGTAGGGGTAGAGGGCTTGGGGTGTGCTAAGACTTTCTTGATTGCCAAAGGTTTGAAGCCCTGAGGCCAAACCCAGTACAAGGTTTGAAACCCTCAACTGAAACCGTACAATGCTTCAAGCCCTAAAACCTAAACCCGAAACCCGACCACGCCCCTGATGAACGAGGCGACCCCGGTCGGGGGAAGGAGTTCTTATTTACAAAGGGGGGACCTTGGAGGGGGTCGGGGTAGTGGGCGATCCTATCGGGTTCGGGGGTGGGTCTTAATTGAGGCTTCAGGGTTTTAGGGTTTGGGGGTTTAGGGTTACAGTAGAGTCTTCGGGCTTTTGGGCCTTAGGGGTAATAAAGCCTGGAAATTCGCCAGTTCTCTAGTGGGGAACGAGAAAAAATAGCCAAAAAGGGCCTGAGTATATATATATATTTATTTATTTATTTATATTTATTTATTTATGTATTTCATTATCCTTTCAAAGGTCGGAGATTATAGGGCACCTAATTCCCGAGACCCCTGCTCGGAGCCAAGCGAGTGGAGGAAAGCCCGAACCCTAAACCCTAAACCCTAAACCCTAAACCCTAAACCCTAAACCCTAAACCCTGAACCCTGAACCCTGAACCCTGAACCCTGAACCCTGAACCCTGAGGCCCTGAAGTGAAATCAGCCTTGGGGAGCTGCCGCGGTCCGCCGCTTCGGGCCGCCCTGATACCCCTAAACCCTAAACCCTAAACCCTAAACCCTAAACCCTAAACCCTAAACCCTAAACCCTAAACCCTAAACCCTAAACCCTAAGCCCTGGTAGGATTCAGGGTTTATGGTTTGGGGTTTAGGGGTTACTTCTTAAGTAAGGGTTGTACGTAAGGCAACTGAATGAAGGCCTCAGGGTACACATAGCCCGGCTACTGAAACAACCAACTCCCATGCAGGCCCTTAAAACCCCAACCCTAAACCCTAAACTCCAAACTCTAAACCCTAAATGAACCCTAAACCCTAAACCCTAAACCCTGAACCCTGAACCCTAAACCCACCTGTTTATGTGACGAGGGGCGAGAAGGCAGCTGCAGATGATGCCGAGCTCGATGCCCCGCTGCCTGTGGAGAAAAGACAAGGGAAGAAGGGTTTAGGGTTTAGGGGTTTAGGGGTTTAGGGGTTTAGGGGTTTAGGGGTTTAGGGGTTTAGGGGTTTAGGGGTTTAGGGGTTTAGGGGTTTAGGGGTTTGGGGGTTTGGGGGTTTGGGGGTTTAGGGGTTTAGGGGTTTAGGGGGTTCTTTTGTGTTTGGTGTAGTGGCCTTTTTGCTGTTGCTGGGTTTGGGTGGACTTTGGGCTTTCTGGTCTACCACGACCCTGAACTGAAGCTATCCTTAAAAGAAAGGTCAATTGGGGGGTGGATTCGGGAGGAAAGGCGGGGGAATACATGTTGAAACTTGCATGGCCGATTACAAAAGTGCAGTTGCAACTGGCAGCTGAAGGTAAGCCAGGTATACAAACTTCGGACCAAGATGACCCGCTCAGCAGTTCAGTCCTACACCTGAGCCCTCAAAAACTAAGGTCAAATGGCCCTAAACGTTAGGTCTGAATTAAGGCCTAAGTAAGCCCTAAGGCCCTCCAGGCAATGTCCCCGTACCTCTGCTAGTAAAGGTACAAACCTATATCCCCAACAGGCGTATAGCGTAGGGACCGATCTCATTAGAACCCGCCCCTAAACCCTAAACCCTAAACCCTAAACCCTAAACCCTTGCTTCAACCCTAAACCCTAAACCCTAAACCCTAAACCCTAAACCCTAAACCCTAAACCCTAAATCCTAAGCCCTAAACCCTAAACCCTATTCATGCGCATGCCAGGTGGTTTATACATTATCTTACTCATGCACGCTTCTACAGGGACTAGGAGGCCGACCTTATGAGTAACATTACAGGGTTTTGGGGTTTAGGGTTTAGGGTTTAGGTTTATAGGGTATAGGGTATAGGGTATAGGGTATAGGGTATAGGGTTTAGGGTTTAGGGTTTAGGGTTTAGGGTTTAGGGTTTAGTTCTAGGATGGCCCTTAACAAAAACCCTCTGAAAAAATAGCCCTGGATATGATCCTCGTAAGCCCCAGAAGGAATAACAAAAACATGTTCCAGGGGCCTATGTAGGGTTTAGGGGGACAGAAGCACTAAAGGTCCATGTACCTGAATAAGGAATACTTGGGCCTTAAAGTACTTGCTATAAAGGGACTTTGGGGACCAAGTCCCCAAACCCTAGACCCTAGACCCTAAACCCTAAACCCTTAGGGGAAGCCCTTGAGCCGGAAGCCGATCTGCGAGCCCAAGCACATGACGACCGCCGACTCGTGCGGGAAGAGCGCGAACCTCCACGCGCCCGCTACCGTAGACCCTATAAACCCTAAACCCTAAACCCCTTCAACCCTAAACCCTAAACCCCAAACCCTAACCCCTAGAAGATCGGCTTTACAGGGTTTGGAGTTTTTGGGCTTGGGTTTAGGCCTTGGTTGTAGGATTTGATGTTCGGAACTGGGGACTAGAAAGTGACCCCGAAACCCTAGGCCCTAAACCCTAACCCCTAAACCCTAAACCCTAAACCCTAAACCCTAAACCTGAACCCCCAATCAAAGGAAGCAGCCCAACTGGGAGCTTCCAGTTTTGAGGCTTTGAAGTTTCCATTCTAGGGTTTAGGGTTTAGGGTTTAGGGCTTAGGGTTTGGGGTATCAGAAGTTTCGCGAGAAGAAATGAGGGAGGTAACTTGGGAAGTTCACCCTTATACGAACACTCCTCAATACGCGAAGAAAAAGGGCCAAGGGCGAAGATCGAACTTGAGCAAAACCCGCAAACTACTAGATGCTCAGAACCCCACCCAAAAGAAAGATCATAATCCCCGAGTTGCCCGTATAAGGCCGAATATGTTTCATTGTTTTTTGGGGGGGAGGGGGGAGGGGTTCTTAAGCAAAAAGTTAAAAAGTAAAAAAAGTAAAAAAAAAAAAAACTAGGGCTTAGGGTTCAGCAGCTTACAGAGTTTGGGGGCGCTCAGACTCGCGCATCTCCGCCATTGGAGACTCCTCGGTGTCCTTGGCACACAGAGCAGGGCAAAGCCCTGAATCCCAGGTTTGCACGCCACACATTAGCCGAACCTTGCCAGGCCAACCAAACCCTAAACCCTAAACCCTAAACCCTAAACCCTAAACCCTAAACCCTATGTTTGTGTCGTTTTGTGTTCCCCTGGCTGTGAGCTCCGGACCATGGCCCTGGCAAGTAGCTGCACCTGGCGGGCGCCCGCTGGCGCGCGCTGGCGCTCGCGCGAAGGCAGGTGTTGTGGGGCCATTTGGGGCTTCTTGTTTAGGGTTTAGGGTTTAGGGTTTAGGGTTCTCAGCGAAAGTACCCCCTAAACCCCCACCCCTAGACCATACCCATGCACATCTCTCTTCAAACAACATCCAGGTCTTAGGTTTTAGGGTTGAGGGTTCCCGGGCTTGGGGGTTTTCGGAGAGGTTTTGGGATATGTGTTAAAGCTTCAGGGCTTTTACGGTTTCTAGCTTTTGTGATTTTAAGTTGTCGTCGTGGTAAACCCTTACCCTAAACCCTGCGGGGAAACTGCCCCAAAAAAACCTTCAAATTCAGAGCCTCCGGAAATTCATAGGGCACCCCAGGGGCCTGTGATGTCCTGCACCTGAAACCCAAAGACCCTGAACCCTACAAAACCTTAAGCCCTGAACCCTAGACTCTACAAACCTCACACCATTACTCTACAAATCTTCAACCCAGAACCCTAAATTGTACAAACCTTGAGCCCTGAACCCTAAACTCTACAAACCTGAAACCCTGAACCCTAAGCTCTCCAAACCTTCCCTAAATTGTACAAACCTTCAGCCCTGAACCCTGAACTCTACGAAGTCGCATGCTGTCGGAGGGGCTTGTCTCAGTTGCCGCTGGCCGAAGAGACGCCGGCGTGAGAACCTGCAGGGTGGCTTTCGGGTTTAGGGTTTAGGGCTTAGGGTTCAGGGTTGAGGGCTTAGGGCTTAGGGTTCTGATAAGGAACCCGATATGTTGGAGGGGAGGCAGTGGTCAGTTCTCCCCTTCCCCATCAGAAGCCCTTGACAAGCCTTTCTAAGGAAAAACTCCAGGGTTTAGGGTTTAGGGTTTAGGGTTTAGGTTTAGGGTTTAGGGTTTAGGGTTTAGGGTTTAGGGTTTAGGGTTTAGGGTTTAGGGTTTAGGGTTTAGGCTTTAGGGTTTAGGGTTTAGGGTTTAGGGTTTAGGGTTTAGGGGTACTTATGAACCAATTAAAACTGTCTGCCGACCCTGGCGGCGTGTTGGATGGGTTTGAGGAGGTGAAAACCTCCCTCTTTCCCTCCGCGCCACCCGCACAGGCGGTTCAGCACAGGGGGGTAGGGCGTTTTCGGGCCCCCACCCACCCCCCCACCCCTCCCCTCCCCCCACCCCTCCCCCCACCCCTCCCCCCACCCCTCCCCCCACCCCTCCCCCCACCCCCCCCCCCCCCCCCCCCCCCCCCCCCCCACCCCCCCCCACCCCCCCCCCACCCCCCCCCACCCCCCCCCCCCACCCCCCCCCCCCCCTCCCCCCCCCCCCCCCCT